GAAGGAAGGAAGGAAGGAAGGAAGGAAGGAAGGAAGGAAGGAAGGAAGGAAGGAAGGGATTAAAATTACGGTGGGATTGAACGTTTCGTTTGTTAGATTAACAATCACATGATACAATGATGGCGCACGCGGGGGGTGCGCTCGGACCAAGCGGGCAATGATGGAGTGGGTTGTGTGCGCATTGTGTGTGCGTGTGTCTGTGTGTAAAGCCGGTGTTGTCTGCAGACAGTGGTGAAGAGGACAAAGGAAGCAGCTCAMCATGACCTCAGGCTCTAAAACAACTTTAAAGCTGCTGAGTTTTTGATTTTAAAAGATTTGTGAGATTTTTGTCTATTTTCATGATGCAAATGAGGACATTTTGTGTAATTCTACAGACAAATCAGTACCAGGTGACAACATTAGTGTGTTGAAAGTGAACTTGTCTTAGCATTTTCACAGTCTTATCTTGATATTTCCCCGACAATATTCTTGAGCATGAAATCTGAGGCAGTGATCGGTCCATGTCGGGGGGTTTTCTAACGACGTCAGCTTTGCGGCACAGCCAGGTGTCGCAAATCAGCTCCAAGACTGACACTTAAGAATTACAGGAAGAATTCCTACACTTTGCTTAAAGTAAGACTAAGACGCTTGATAACTGACTTTTACTCTCAGCTTTTAACTAAGAATTTTTTTATACTTAAGTCCACTCTTAGCAGCATTCTTAAGAGTTATTCGAAGAAGTTTGATAAATACGGGCCCAGATGTCCTCCAATTGGCTACATCTCATTGGATTACCTGTGATGTAAGATTTAAATGGCAAATTCTGTATGCTAAATGAAATAAACTCTTAGTAAAAGCAGAAGATATATCAACAACACTGTAAAATGGAAAATAGAACGAGAATATAACAAAGTGCTCTAATCTGACAAAATGTTAATTATAGATATTTTTTATTTATTTATTTATTATTATTATTATAAAAGCTCAAAGTCTAGGTCTTTTGTCTGGATTACTTTAACTGTCCATACAATGTTTATAGTTGCCAGCACAGAGAAAAAAAAATGCTGTTTTAGCATTTTTGCACACTGATAACATGATAAATTTATCAATCTCCAAGAATGGATAAATCTCTGTATGAAGCTAAAGAAATGTTTATGTTTCATGTAAATCTGTACATAATTAATACAGCTAGACCATTTAACATGTCTATTATTAATCTGTCTGCAAATGGTAAAACTTGGTATTTATGACTACAATTAAAAGCTGAAGAAATGCTGCAAAAACAGTTTTGATAAATCATTACATGTCATTTTTTTAATTTATTGCATTGGTCATTTATCATGGGCACTATGATTTTATATTTTATTTTTGACAATGTTTCTTCTGGCTTGACTTTTCACATCTATTAAGTCAAAATTATTAACATTCAGTGCTCGGAGAACAGGAAAGGCTGAGCAGCTGGATTGTTTTTAAAATATGTCTAAATAGCTTGTCTAGCCTAATTTATGAGCACAAGCACAGATCTGCCTGAAAACTAGAATGTGTTGTGTGCTTGATCACCTTCTTTCTGATTAGCTTTGTAAAACTATTCAGACTTTTTCCAATTTTTAACTCAAACTCGATCGCATCACCTGTAAGAGAGCTCAACTTTTAGCGTGCTGACCAGGAAATGACCTTATACATCACCTTTACAACATCTGATTTAGTCTTTTAGTACAACAGTTGGACATTGTCAGATCTTTATTACGCCATTTGAGTGGAAAAACTCAACAAGTTCTTGAGTTTTATTGTTGTTCTGCCGCATGTTTTCTCAAACTGTTCAAGGAAAAGACTGAACATGTTTAAACAAAGGAGAGAGGATGCAAAATAACTCTTCTTAATATTGCATTTCTGAACTACTTTGCAAAATTTTAAAGAATAATCCAGATTATCGACAAGTTCTTATTCCTTGTTCAACACCTACATTTCACTTTTGCATAAAGGCTTTCAGAAAGGACCCCAGTTATTTTGCAAAGTAAAGATTAAAAGCTATTTTGAAATCAAACTAGTCTTTGCCCTTCATCTACACACTGTCATCTCTGTTTAATGCTGATGTGACTTTTCTGCTTGATATATCGCAGCAAAGTTTGGACTCATCAGTGTTCTATCAAAAATGTTCTTTCAACTCCCATCAGTGGCTCCTGATATTAAACCCTAAATTCAGAACAGTGTTTCTCCTACTCTTCTAGAAGAATGGGAACGTCTAAAGAAGTATTTTTTTTCTTCTAAGTGAATAAAGTAATAAAAGTTGATTACTGGAATAGAGAGTGATGGCAGTAAAATCAAGCTCAGTTTGCAAGTTCTTTGTTCTACGGGCAATAAAAAAAGCAACAGATGGCCTGCAATCCTGGCAGAACCACAGGAAAGCTCCTCCTTTCACCTCCAGGCTGAAGGTTCAATTCCCACCTGACCCGCTGAAAGCCACYGTGCCTTTTTAGAGCCAAACTCTGCCAATTGGTATCCCTGCCCAGGGGGTAATTTGGAGGGATGTGAATTGTCACTGCTGGATWTGAATGTTGAGCTGTTGGCTTTCTGTTTTTGAGGCTACAGCTTGGTTTGGGGGTTAAGTTTGAGTTTCAAAAACAGCTGCTCATTTTTCAAGTTCTCTTTATGCTGATTGTGAAGAATGTGTTAGTGAGGATGAATACGAAGCAGGTGGGTGAAATAAAGTGTTAAAGGCATGATGWATAACTTATGGCTATGGTTACTGAGGATGGATTAAGAACCCATATTRGTGGGGGCGTCGTAAGTGGGCMCATTGCTCTCTCCAAAAAGACACTGGTCTTTATTCAAACCTTCGTGTCCCTTGGATGAAGGACACAACGTTAGAAACRCTGTGTTCTGAACTTCTCAGGATCCATAAAGGGGTCCCCAATAATTCTTTTCCTTTGCTCAGAGCCAGGCAGTGGCCTAAGTAGTGCAAAGAGGTCTTTAATTCGATGTATAACGTACCCTACTTTGTACTGTTTATCAGTTGGTACGGTTGTAGATGGAACAATGAATAATAGTTTATTGAAAAGACATTAACCACTGGCCTTTTTTTTCTTTTGCGAAAAACGTTCCTTTTGTTTCTCTGCATGTCCAGTAATTGCCCAGAACTTAGCAAATTTTACTGTACATTTTATTAGGACACTTAAATGTCTTTAAAAATTGTATGTCTTGTTTTGTTTTTTGCAGAACGTTTTTAGTCAGAGTAGTTTATTGACGAAAGTAGAGCTTGAGCAAGTTTGTTTTCAGTCGATTTCAAATCAATAAAAATTGATMATTGCAAAAAATGCTTTTTCGATTCAGTGCAGAAAAAAACAAAATATCATGCCATTTGATTCTGTTGAAACCAAATGATTTTTCCCCTCTTGTTTTCTGAAGGCCACAGAGAGTGAGTTGGGTGACGGGGACCTGTCTGGACTTCCAGAGACAGCAGTTGACAGTGAGGAAGATGAGGAGGAAGACGAGGACCTGGACAGAGCCTCAGATGCTCTTCTGGGTCGGGACCTGGTTCGAGAGTGTCTGGAAAAAGATCCGGCGGACCGCAACGATGATGACATTGGTCAGTTTAAACTTTGCTTTATTTCATGCTTGCAAAGCTAACTCTTTCAATAAAAGGTTAACACACTTTATCTYTGTGTAAAATTTACCTGAACTATAATTAAAAGTGGATTCATGTGGCTCACGCTCGGWTCTCTTTATCAGTCATTCATAACATCATAGGAGCTCCCCGTCCTCTTATAAAGACCACCTATATTGGTGTCTAAACAGCAATGTCCTTCTAATGTGTATTTTTGAACAGGCAATCAGAGAAACAACCTCATTAGGGGGACCCAGTGGGGTCCTAGGGAAGAAGGTGACCGCATCAGAGAGCTCAGAGAGGTTGTAAAGGCCTGGCCTGCTGTGCCCACCAGGGGCAGGAGGTCTGGCCTTTTCACAGCCTTCCTGATAATACAGGAAGGGGAAATGTATCTCACACAAGCTGGATGATAATTTACACTATTTTCTATGTATTTTATTTGAGTAACTTACTCAAAGGCTCTATGAATGTCTTTTCCCTTAATGAACGTTTAGAAAAGAAAAAAAAAACTTGGAGTAAAATGTTTTTATTTGACAGAAGCCTTTATTCAAAGTGGTTTACATGTCAGAATCAGAATCACTTTTATTGCCATTGTCAATGAACAGGATTCACAGACTAGGAATTTGCTTTGGTGTAAAGGTGCAATAGGTATCAAATATAACAAATAAGGAAAAAAACATATGTGACCCATCATATCAAAATGAGGATTAAGTCAAATTTGGGCAAAATAACCTAATTACATTTTCAGATTCCTGGCTTTAAAAGCTACATTTTGATACCTGGATCATTCTGATATCATAAGCTTATTCAGAGATATGACTTAATTTGTCTTGTTGGTTACGATAATTACTGAATCCTAATTTTATGTAATTTATTCAGTAATTTTTAATGTCAATATGCAGAGGAAACCTCAAGTAGTATTTGTAGATTATTATTTCCCAGTTGTAAAGAAACAAAAACATTGCTAGCTCACAGGGAAAAAAATCAAAATTTTAAGGCGTTTTTCCTTAAAATCAGTTTTTTGTTGCTACTGCTCAAAAAAAATGCTTCAAATTTTTGTTTTATGATTATATTTCAGACAGTTCATTCAATTGATACATTGATAAGGCATAAATTCATTATATTTTGACAAAATTCAATTTTTGCACACGTTTAAATCAAAGCCCTATTTCAAAGCCCCCATTTCTCCACATCCCACTATTGGACTTAATCCTCGTTTCGAAGTGATAGGTCACGTTTGTGAGGAAATGTTTTGGTTAGTTTTCTTTATGTAGCCTGGAAACGTTTGGCATTTAATCAACTTTATAACAGAATRCCGATTGTTAAAAACTGTGAATTCAGAACAGTCATGAAAACATTTTCTGATTGCAGCTGTATAATTCGAAGGCCGCAGTAGCTTGCAGTGCCCCTGTCTTGTAATCCTGAGGCTTCATGTACAGCTCAGTTTATTAGWGTTTGCTTTCGGTGTCAACCTATGCAGAAGGGAGCGGGCAAAAGGAAAACAACTTTTGTAACCTTTAACAGAATAGTGAACAGATTGAGGTCACTTTGTTCTCAGCGACAGCGCTGAGGCAGATCTGTAGTGAAGAGTGAAAAGTTTTGTAGCTGTAAAATATTAAGATATATCTGTGTTTTTGTTGTTTTATAGGATAAAAGCAAGTGATTACATTTCTTAAAGCTCTGATCTCTTTTTCTAGCAGCACTGTAATGCAAGTAACACAACAGAAAGGAATATTTAAACAGAACAACTAAGACTGAGTGGTTCACCCCAACCAGCTGTATTAGAAACACATTTGKTGTAAATAAAATGCTCTTTTTTTCCCTGCCTTTTCATTTTTTCTTTTTCTTTCTGCTTCTTTTTTTTCTTTCCCTCTATAACAAACAGAACAACTCCTGGAGTTCATGCACCAGCTGCCCGCTTTTGCCAACATGACTATGTCCGTGCGGAGGGACTTGTGCAGCGTCATGATGTTTGAGGTGGTGGAGCAGGCCGGCACAGTCCTGCTGCATGACAAACAGGAGGTATGAAAGGACTCAAAATCTGCAAACAGAAGTGTGTAACTACTACCTTATAAAGAAAAACATGAAGCTGATTTTGTAGAAGAATTCAATTTTGCTGTATTTACATGTCAAATAAATTTATCAACAAACTAATTCATATATGCAAAGTATGTCATTAAATTAAATTAATGTTTATTCAATCTGATAAAAAATCTATTATCTGTCCTGCTGAATCATAATTATGCTATTAACATAATCACAATTAGAACATCTCTTAATATTATGCAAAACAGGAAATAAATCTTATTACGTTGATGTGTTTGGATTTTAATTTCCTTTTAAAGATTTGTTAAATTTGGTATGATAAACAAGAAAATTAGGGTTTAAAAAGTAAGTATAAATTGGTTGATGTTTGCTTCTTTTAAAAAAAAGTATACATCTTCCCTATCTTCTGGTCTATCCAAAGTTAATTCACACACACACACAC